GCAGAAGGAGTTGAACTAAGAATTCGGATAAGGTTGGTAACTATAAAACTTCGTTTTGGAACGGAAGTGACTGAGAAACACAGATCAGATATGGAATATATGGAATAACCAGGGCCGTGCCGCGACACAGATATGCGCCCGCATCAGGCGACATGGTAAGGGGCTCGGCATAAGTAGCGAAATAAGCAGCGGCTATTTTAAAGAAAAAGAAAAAAAACATTCAAGGGGCTGTAATATGGAAGATTTGCATTATATTTAGAACATCTAACGAGCGGGACGGTGAGAAACTAACGACAGTAAACAATGAGCTGCTTACTAAAGATGACAGATAGGACAACTCCCAGATCTTCACGCGTTCGTTGAAGCTTTAGAGCCAAGACCGTCTCCGTCAGATGGAGACGGTCTTGCTAGAGCCATTAGTCCAACAAAAACATCCAATAGAAGGTGACCAACCAACAACTGTCTAGAAACCCCAGAACCAAAGCTGTTGGTGTGCGCATACAAAGCTTCCTGGAAACGGTACCGGAAACCAGGGCGACGGGTAACCTACTTCTTTGCCATCCATCAGCGTGACCTGGCAGCGTCTGAGTTGAGTAGGTGGGGAGGTTAATTGACTTCAGAGAATTGCCAGCTTTAATGCCCGTGTTGGCGTGGCCTCTCACACAGTCACCTGTGTGTGTGTTTATGTGTGTGTGTGTGTGAGAGAGAGAGAGAGAGAGAGAGAGAGAGAGAGAGAGAGAGAGAAAGATTCGGTTTATTGGCATATATCCTAGAATTCTTTGATGAAACATTTTGGGACAGCAAGTATCCAGGCGGTGTTTCTGAAAGCGATTGCTAGAGATAAAACGGCTGTAATGAAATGTACTCTGTATCACCAACGGAGGCTGCCGCGGTGTTAGTGGATAGACGCTCGCCTGCTGATCCGAAGGTTGTGGGTTGGAATCCGATCGGAGCCGGAACTTTTTACAAAAATAACCTTGGCTTCTAGGTCGACCCAGCCTTCAGAAGGTACCAGGAAAAGCTACTGGACGTAAAGGCGACCGGGGTGACGCTGACCACATCACCCATCCAGTGCCGACTGGTCTAAAAAATACAGATCTAGCCCTGTATGCCCAAAGGCATAGAAAAGGTTCATAATTTACACAGTGAATTCTGCAGGCGACCTCCTGGACTTACAGACACACCTGAGGTATTTATCAAACCGGTCCGATTCGGTCCCAACATACTGCGAGAGTTCTATGAACTCCGCGGGTTCCTTTTCATTCTTCCTGTCCCACGCCGGTGGTATAGTCTATGTTCTTGCACTACAGTAGTGTCTGTACGCTAGCCTGATGACCTGAAGGTCAAGGGTTCAATCTCTCATCATTATAAAACTACTTCTGTCGCTGAGCGACGTGGGGGAGGAGCAATGTGCGACTTAGTGCAGGTTGGCACTGGCTACTGTCGTGCCGTGAATGTGCAAAGTGTCGTTAATGTTGTTGATCACAATTTTCGTCACTTGACTAGATCTGCAACAAGACCAACCAACTAGTGGGCTATCAATCTGCCCTGATAAGTTCAACTCAGTATCAGCATGATCAATGCCGGACGATTCACTGGCTAACAGTACAGCCACTAGAAAACATGCAAACGTTATGTGTGATTTTATACACTACAAACTGTTTATTTCTCCGCTCCGTTCAATAATCTCTTGGATATCATGGACAAAATCCAGCCCAGCACCACAGACTTCTCTCATCAACATTCGCCTTAGGGCAGCGATTCCCAAACTGTGCGCCGCGGCGCCCTGGGGAGTCGCGACCTCTTCACGAAGGCGCCGCAAAATATTGTAAAAGCTTCATAATTAATTTAACCAAGACACGAATAGTCATACTTTTATTTAGATTAGGGCGCCCTGGAAAAACGTTAACCGAAAAAAGCGCTGCGACCAAGAAATGTTTGAGAAACACTGCCTTAGGGTTTTTTCTCGGACGTCCTCATTTCCTCTAACCCCATATTTTTAATTAAAGAACCTTTCGTCGACTTATAGGGCACATTTTTTTAATTTTAAAGCCCCACCCTGGCTGTCACCAGGGTCCCTTACATTACCTAATGGTTAATCGGGGTTTCTGGGAATGGTGGCACTTTGTGTAACAAAATGTTGTGCGATTGAACATCCCTCACTCACTGTCTGTTTGGTAATTCTCAGCGGACATAAAAATAGATAGAAAATGAAAATAGACCAACCTAGTTGGAACTCGTTAAATCTAAAGGCATGTATGTATTTGAGCACTTCGACAATTCAACAAACCAGCTTTGACTAGTTTTACTGACTACTGCGTTTGTGATTTCCCGTGCCTGTTTGGTGCTGTTGTACAACAAGCAATCGTGCATAATTAATAAATTCATAGATTTGATTACCATGAGATCCCCACTAGAGATCCCCATAGCAGACGTGACCTCCGACAGATCCCGGTAGTCATACTAATAATTCGTATAACTCCACCTAGTCTTGAATGACCAACGGTTAGTGAGCTTAGACCAAGCCCAGTTAATTAATTTATCTTGATACTTTCATGTTCCCAGTAATTGCAGAATATATCAATTCGGCAACACATTCCAAGCAGAGTTGTACAACATTTGGCTTTCACAGGTTCGAGTCGCTGATAGAACTCTGTATGAATCCTCGATCGATAGAGCTAAGACACGCTGTGAGTGTGTGTGTGTATGTGTGTGTGTATGTGTGTGTGTGTTCGCGTGCGCTCTTCCGTGCTATTACACAGATTATTCCACACATGCCAGTTTCAGCAAACACAAATACGGTGAGTTTGTGTGTAATTAGACACCTATGACAAATACGGTGATCCCAAATGGTGTGTTGCATATCTTAAACAGAACATATCAAAAAAAGACAAATAATACGCTAAGCAACACTGGCAGGACAAAATCAAGATAGACATGCCACTGTAAGCTTCGGCAGTGTGGGACAATGTGGCTTTTTTTGCTTACAATTCATTCATTAGTGCAGGCATGTCAAACATGTGGTCCCATAGCGGCCCTTTACCGGCATATCTAAGGATACATCAGTTAATCCTTTTTATTCAATGGCTTTAATTAGTTCTGTGACGCCCTCATGACAACACAAATAAGACCCATATAGCCCTACGTTTGACATTTTGCTAAACTATATTTTTATGTGTCATTAACACACACACACACACACACACACACACACACACACACACACACACACACACACACACACACACACACACACAAAGTAGGGAAGGTTGAGAAAGAAAGACAGACAGACAGACAGACAAACAGACAGACAGGCAGAATTTCAGATATCAGTCGCCAGACGGAACAAATCAAGACGTGCAGAAATGCGTATATAAATAAATAAACAGAGTATTTATGAATAGACGGAAGGGACAGGGAGAGATTAACATACAGAATTTCAGTTATCAGTAGTGAGACGCAACAAAAGAAGAAGAGCATAAATGCATATATACATAAATAAATAGAGCATAAATCAATGTGAGAGATTGATAGAAAGAATTGTGGATGGACGGAACGGTGATACAAACAAATAATTTCACAATCTATTTCTGCTAGGTATACATCTTATCAAACAGTGTAAGAAACACACTGTTAGATGTACTTTGCACAGTAAACAACTAGTCTATAGTACAGAGATGTGAGAAACTACCTGGCGAGGTACCCTAAGTGCCAAACTCTACAGGTAAGGTGTGACTTGAGTCCGCCCGGACTGGATGATATGATCTCGGGTTAGTTCACAGAGTGTTTGTGTTTACCCTGAACTTGGATCACATCCTAATGTCAGGCGGTTCACACTGCACATCTGAAACTGATTTGTCTTCATTTCCGGTGGGTGAAATTTGTTATAAAGTTATGCTTTTATGCTTTTGTGAAAAGAGGGAAAAGGGAGGAAAAAGGGGAGGGGGGTGGGGGGGGGGGGTGGGTTACAGGGGAGATCACTGGAGACACAAACCAGAGCCGTTTAAACAGCATTAAAGGCCAGTGTGAAAACCAGTGTGCTGACGCCCCTACAACAATCATTAGGAGAAAAGAAATTGCCATTTATGGCAGATCATTGACACATACACATCAGTATGGGATCCCCGGGCAAGTGTCCAGAGGGCCCATGGGTTAAGTCACACACACGCAGAGAGAGTGAGTGAGAGAGAGAGAGAGAGAGAGAGAGAGAGAGAGAGAGAGAGAGAGAGAGAGAGAGACGCACGGAGAGAGCGAGTGGGAACGGGGTACTTGACGAGGTATCCTGAGTGCCAAACTCTGCAAGTAAGCTGTGACATGAGTCAGTCTACACTAGAGACATATACTCACACATGCACGCAGGCAGACAGGCAGACAGACAGACAGACAGACAGACAGACAGACAGACAGACAGACAGACAGACAGACAGACAGACAGACAGACAGACAGACAGACAGACAGACAGACAGACAGACAGACAGACAGACAGACAGACAGACAGACAGACAGACAGACAGACAGAGAGAGAGAGAGAGAGAGAGAGAGAGAGAGAGAGAGAGAGAGAGAGAGAGAGATAGATAGATAGATAGATAGATAGATAGATAGATAGATAGATAGATAGATAGATAGATAGATAGATAGATAGATAGATAGATAGATAGATAGATAGATAGATAGATAGATAGATAGATAGATAGATAGATAGATAGATAGATAGATAGATAGATAGATAGATATGGACAGACAGAGAGCAAAGAAGCAACAAAAACACGTACGTTTTTTTTAAAGGAGAAAGTAACAAAATGAAAGACATAAACACAAAGGGTAATGAATAATTGGAAGCAAATAACTATAAACAGACTATTGTGGGTAGCAGCGAGGAACATAAGAACAAATAAAGCAAAAGGAATGACATTATGAAAAGTGAAAGACTGGAAATAATAAAAGCAGACAAAGGGCAAAAACTAACCACAGACGGACACGCAGACAAATAAAGCGTTACCTTATTTCTGTTCTTGTCGCACTGGGTGATCTGGTCCTTACAGTTGTGTTCATGCACGTTCACCAGGCAGTCTGAAAGGTGAGAAATTCAAAGGTCTTAGAGATGATAGAACGTGTATCTCCAGACACACAAGAAATTAAACAACAGACAAAGGGTACAGCGTGTTCATATAATAAATATAATTAACTAGACACAGTATATATAAGGCAACAGAGAGAAGTATACCGCAACACACTTTAACCTAACACAGAACTATCACTGCTTTCGTAATACTGATAGTTCTAAGTCATAGCTACAGCACCTTCCTTCTGACCCACAGGCTGAAAACACAGTACATATAAGGCAACAGAGAGAAGTATACCGCAACACACTTTAACCTAACACAGAACTATCACTGCTTTCGTAAAACTGATAGTTCTAAATCATAGCTACAGCACCTTCCTTCTGACCCACAGGCTGAAATAAACAGTTTCCAATAGTGCAATCCCGCTATGACTTCTGCTTAGCTGACAATGCGCACATCTGTTTTAGGTTTTGGGAAATGTTCCTATGGTGTTGGCTCTGTTTATGTTTTGGTTTTGTTTTGCCTCGGCAAATCATTAAAATAATTAATGGGTGTTGAGATGAAGGCACGAAGAGAAGAGAGAGTTCTTGCTGCAAATGTGTTCTGATTTGAGACCCTTACGCTCAGAAATTTAAAGATTCTCAATTAATTACACACTTGTGGGTGTGGAGCTTACTTGTGCCCTGACTCGTGAAAACATTGCCCAGACACTGAACAATCGGACACAGTCATTAGGATTTGTTCATCCACAGTGCCTTATGTGTCATCCTTTCAAGGTAAATACAGCCTTCAGAGAAATAAAGTCCAGAGTGTGGAAACATATAGGCCTAGGGACAGAAGTTAGTCAACAAAAGAAAAGAGCTAGAGGTGGACACATAACAGAAACAAATAACATATAATTGACAACAGAAAGAAGAACGATGACAAAACGGCGGGCAATATAAACAAGTAAAAACATACAGATCAAAAACTTTGAGATCAGTTCAGAGCCCGTGACCGAACATAAAACAAAAATGCAGGAATTAATGTCTAAAGTTGACTACTGACTTATCATAAAGAAACCAGAAACAGGTGGCATCCAATGATATTTTAAGCGCCTATGGCCGTGAAACATCGATAAACCTACAATCAGAAATACTGATGAAATTTACACGGTGTTACACCAGCCTTCAAGCGACTCGCCCCACCCCCATGTTCAGCTCACTCCATGTCCTCTAAACCTAGTCATCGCTTGTCTCCAATTCTCATCCCTGTGTATTTTTGTTTGCTTCGCTTAACAGTAGCCGGTAGTACATGGGTTGAAAAACACTGACCTGGATGGTCTCATCACAAGAGAAATTGGGCTCTTGTGGCAACTCTGTATAACGGCTTCCGGTATCGCCCAGCGCCACCAGAAGGAAAAGATGCGGACTGTAACTGGCCACCTTAACTTCAAGCTGTTGCGACCATTTACAGCAGCAAACAGTTAAAATCTCAAAGTTATAAACGTCCTCGGGATCAGTGTAACTCCCCAACATCAGAGACTATAAAGCGTTTACTGTTTTTTAAACATTAGAACGTACTCTGTTCATGCCATGGGTATAGATATCATCATCAGTTTTTGTAAACACGTCAAACCAGAGCATGAATTCTCCCATTCACGGTGTCCTGGCTGCCAACTATCATTTCTCTTGTGCACAGCCTCGACATCATTTAAACTAAAGGTTCTCAAATTTCTTACCCTAGACTCATTTGAAGACGGGGTTTTAGAAGTTATAGCTATGTTCCGTTTGGTTTGATATATTCTCTTTTGGAGATGAGATATCTTCTTCAGGGTCAACTCTAGAATCCTCTCTATAGTTTGATATTTATTTAGAGGAGGTTCGAGTTGCTGATAGTACCAGGAAATGTTCCAGGATGCAGAGGCTGTCGGCCATCGCATGGTCTATAACATACAGGAATAGCACCATATACCTAAGTTGCCATACTTCATGCACACACACATACACACACAAAAAGGGGGGGGGGGAAGGGGGCTTCACAAGTTATGTTTTATGAAAGTTCTAGATGAGGAGAGTTGATCAGAGCAAACATGAAGACAGTCATGTTTTATGAAAGTTCTAGATGGGGAAAGTCTACTAGGGCAAGCATGAAGAAAGTCGTGTTTTATGAAAGTTCTTGATGGGGAGACGAGACTAGATCAAACATAAAGACAGTCATGTTTTATAAAGTTCTAGATGGGGAGATTCGACTAGAGCAAACATGAAGACAACCATGTTTTATTAAAGAGAACTTAAACCAAAAACAAAATTAAACTACTTCAACAAAAGACAGACATTCACAAGCTACAATCAGTACTCACAACAATGAAAGGTGAAAAGAGCTGAGACCTGAGGGCATACTGTATAGCAGAGCTTTCTAAACTGCGTTTCAAAACATTAGTGTTGGCTCCAGTGTTAAGGTGTGACTCACGAACTAACTTCTGCAAGTGTCCGTATCTCCTACAAAGGGCTAGAACCTCTGGTTTGTTATTACATTAAATTACTGTGCAGCGAAACTGTGTTTGCATAAAAAGTGTGTTGCCAATTCGAACAGTTTAAAAAGCTCTGTTAGACAGTAGCAGTGAGAAATAACGTCAAGACGCAGGTCCCCCCGGATTGAGGGACTAATAATTATTTGTTTATCAAGTGTTCCAGCCCTTGGGCTGGCCGTGGAACTTCGATGTAATAACATTCATCATCTATCTGGCTCCTTGGGCTGGCCGTGGAACTTCGATGTAATAACATTCATCATCTATCTGGCTGGTGCAGCTCTGATTAATTACTGACTGTTTGCACCGATATGTCGGTGCATGTCTGCACTGATATGTCGGTGCATGTCTGCACTGATATGTCGGTGCATTTTTTTTTTTGCAAGACTACCAGTTTTCTAGGCAATCGCCGTGGTGTAGTGGCTAGAGGCTGCTTACCTGTCAATTAAAATTCGAACATTTCTTTTTTCTCCACAAATAACTTTGGGGCCCAGGTCGATCCAGCTAAAAGTGCGGCCGGCATAATGCTGACCACATCACCCACCAAGTGCCGATTAATCTATACAATAAGGTCTAGCCATATACGGCCAGTATACAAACACGCGTGCAAATGAGTCCAGTCACCATTTCTGAATAGACTGCCATCTGTCACTCCAGTAGTTTCATATCTCAAACGCTTTTATACATTTTCCAATCTAGGCATCCCACTATCCTAAATTTGGGAACCACATAATACAGCTGGTCAGATGTGCAGAGAGAAGAAAGAGTATTTTATGTCAATGATAGCGTTTACACGGTTAAACAAGGCTTCTGGTATTTGATCCTTTTAAATTCACATTCGTCATCTCTTCTTCTTAGCTTTCACCGGCTGTAGGCTGTCAACTCCAGCGCAAAGTTCTGGCTTTTCCTCAATTTCTAAACCAGTGGTTTTTAACCTACCTAACGCCGCGACCCTTTTATACAGTTCCTCGCGTTGTGGTGACCACCCAACTACAAAAATTTCGCTGCTACTTCATAACTTCAGTGACTATGTGTTTTCCAATGGTCTACGGTGACCTACGTGAAAAGGTCGTCCGAACCTGGTCCCTCCCCCCCCCCCCCCCCAGTTTCCTCTCAAAGACTCGTGACCCACAGTCTGAGACCCGCCGTTCCAGACTTAAGACTTGTACCAGATCTTGAATTTACATCCTTTTTACAGATCTGGCTTATGTGTATGCAGATTTCTGTCTCCTTGCCTACAATAAACTTGGGTGTGAGGGCGGGGGGGGGGGGGGGGGGCGTGGTCTGAAATGGAGCCCAAATCCCCATATGGGGAGAATTCACACTCTTTGAGTCAGTAGGCGCAAACCTGGTGGGAGCAAATTTCAAAAACAAATCAGGTTATAATTAAAACTGGCAAATGATTTATGCGGGCCCCTCATTTACAACGCTGCCCTCACGAGACCCACAAATGGAGTAGCTTACTTAGCACACGCGACTTGGTGATCACACATCCCCCACGTTTTCAGTACTTCGATACATTTTTTTCACGAACGCTTCCTCCATTCTCGGTATTCCTAATCTGAAACTGACTTAACCGGGAGCTTGCAAAATTCTCCACAAGAAACGGAATAAACAAATAACTGCCTTGAAAAAGACAGAACTGTTCTGTTTATGCTGGCGAGTCCCATGGGACTTAACTGCTGAAATTTTCAAAGGGCAATAAACTGTTTATAAGCAGCCTAATGTATTTTCTGCAGTGTCTGGACGATTTATTGCCGATTACGTGTTATTGTTTACGTGCTGGTGGGGCCTGGGACGAGCGGCTCAATAACTCTCCCTTGTGCGCACATAGCCAGATGTGAGGGGACTGAATCCTGTCGGGGCTAAAGCACCTCCCACCCCACCCCCTCCACCCACCTTTTCCCTCGAGCTCGTGGAAGTAGGCAAACCTCAGGTAAGAATAAGATTTGCGCGTGCGCGTTACGACTATACAAGAACGATAGGGGAAAGTTGGCTTCTGAAAAGGGTCGTGTGTGTGTGTTTTTTTTTTAAATTTATAATTTAATGTAATGTTTTAAGACAACTTTAGAAATTTTCCTATAGGCGGGGTTTTGTTTCACCCCCCCCCCCCCCCCCCCCCCCAACAAAAATTTTGAAAACACAAATTGACTCAAATAAACTCAACCGAATGCTCTAAATAAACAAAATATAACATGAATGCACGTGAGTCGTGGACATACCGTTAGCATCTGAACAACGCTGACCTGAAGAAAGGAAGCATGAGGTGTCAACATGACCTTGTATGTTTACAGCCATGTATACTATTATGTACGTTGGGGCACTGTGTTATGTACGTATGGGCAAATCAAATCAATCAGGTGCCGTCTCAACAATGAACGGAAGCATGGGGTGTCAACACGACAATGAATACAGCCATGTATACTATTATGTACGTTGGGGCACTGTGTTATGTACGTATAGGCAAATCAAATCAATCAGGTGCCGTCTCAACAATG